AGGGGGATGGGGAGGGGGAGGGGGATGGGGACAGGAAGGGGATAGGGACGGGGATGGGGACAGGAAGGGGATAGGGACAGGGATGGGGACATGGATGGGGATGTGCAGCTGCTCGGCCCTCTCCCACTCCCCGCTGGTGGCCACTGATCCTTTGGGGCCATGTCCCCCTCCCACCCAGCCCAGTTGGCACCAGTGAACCCAGTGGGGAGGGGGGGCCGGGGGAGGGGGGGAGAGGGCAGCCCCTGTGGGGACAGGGGACCCCATCACTCTGTTGTCCTTGTCCCCATCCCTGCCAGGTCCCCGCACCGGGCAGGGCGGGACCCCCATCCCGCCCCCCACCGCAGCCGGGACAGGCCCAGGCCCCGGGGCTGGCGTCTCCCGTTTCGCTTCCTAGGATCCTGATGGCTTTTCCAGGCTTTTATTATTATTATTATTACTACTTTTTTTTTTTTTTTGAAGCAGGATTTCTTCCCATTCTCTTTCCCCTCCCTCATCCTCCTGCCCCCCCCAGCCCCCAGCCCCTGCACCGAACCCTCCTGCATTCCTGGGGCGGGCGGCCGGGGCTGATGAGGTGGCATTGGCCCCCCTGCTCCCTCCCGCGCTCCATGCATATAAAAAAACGATGACATTCTTTTCTTTTCTGTCATGCTGCAAAAATTAAAGACACATCTTCAAGCTGGAGCCCGGCCAGGGGTTTTCGAGTCGCAGAGGCATGATTGGAGGAGCCCTCGCCTGCAACGTGTCTCGGATGCATAGATACAGGCTTGAAAGGCGGCCAGCTGCTCCGTGTGCGTGTGCGCGCGCGTGCGCGCACTTGTGTCTGTGCAATGCACGGATAACTCCTTCGGCTGGGGCTTTTTTTTTCGCCTTTTTTTTGCTTTGCATTTAATAGCAGCTTGGAAAAAAAGACCTGGAGAGGTCACTGGTGGAGCCGTTTTCTCGCTCTCGCCTTCGACGTGTCTCTCCCCGCCGCCCCGTCTTTGCATCGTTTCATTTTTTCTTTTCTTTCCCCACATCGTTGCAAAAAAAAAAAAAAAATTGGTGCTCCTGCTTGGATGCAAAGTGGGGGGGAGCTCTGGTCCTGTTCTGCCCCATGAGGCAGTGGCACCGCAATGACCTGGCAGGCTGATGAGTTTGCAAGTGCTCAGCCCTGATGGTGCAGCTGGGATGAGGGGGCAGCTGGGCAAGACCCCCCCTGGGGTAAAATAGCAGCTCCCTGTGCTGCCCTGGGACTCTCATCCCGGACGCCTGGGCCCCTGGGCTGCTGCAAAGACCCAGGAGGGGACCCCGAGTCCCGGCAATACCCAGGCCACCGTTAGCAGGATATGGCCACAGGGACTCCCGGGGCAGACAGCCCGGCCCAGACCCTTTGGCTGCTCTCCAGGCTCCTGCAAAGGGGCTGTTCAACACTGCGTTTTCCTTAAAAATCCCTTAAAATTGAACGTGTCCCCCCACAATGTGCCACATCACCTGGGGGACACGCGGCGAGTTCCCGCACCCTGGAACTTCCGTCCCCCTCTGATCCTGGCATCTGCCACGGCCCTGCTAAAATACATATATAGAAAAATATAGATATATATATTTATATTACTCTTTTTTGGTGTGTAATTACACCCTCCCAAAATTGCACAGTATATTGTGGATTATTGTCAGCGAGCTTTTTCTTTTTCCAACCAACGTGGCTCTTCAAATGTGGAAAGAGCCGTGGAGGCGTGCCAGAGGGGAGGAAGAGCACAGAGAGGGAAAGCAGAGACGGAGGGAGTGGGGAAAGAGAGAAAGAGAGAGAGAAAGAGAGAAAGAGAGAGAGAAGGAAAGAGAGAAAGA